CCTGTACCACCCACACTCGAAGCGAGGGGTTACATAAAGGTATGATCTTGCCAGGGGAGCGAGGATCCCTGGCGTCACCTTAGAGTTTGTCTATTACAGAGTCATTTGAGGAAAAGGGCCAATTCTTCAATTTTAAAAGCTGTACAATCTGGGACCAGCAGTTAGCGTAATGGCTATGTCGCTCAACTCCCATGTAGTCGACCGCAGTTCGAGTCCTGGACCCGGTTGCTTAAACTCATGCTGAGCGCATGTGTGTGCGTGCCCAGGATCCCGAAAGGAGAATGGAGGAGAAGGGATTGCAGCATGGCCATCCCACCTGGGGGGTGATTTCTCACTTTCTATCTCTCGGTCTCCGTCTTTCTGGTGAGGGCACACGCCCTATAGCAAAAACCTCTCCAAAAAAAAAGCTTTACAATCTGGACACGTGTTCAAAATTTGCAAGTGTACAAGCTGAGCTATTAGAATTTCCATTTTTTGTTCTCTTGTCATTTGGTAAATGAGGAAGGGCAAAAGTGAAGTTTCAATTTTACTTAATGAGAGCTGACAGGAAGGAAGAGGTTAGCAAGGTTAAATGGTAAATGAAATAAGAGAATATCCCACATGGAGAAGTAGAAATGATGGTTTAAACTATTCCAGTGTGTTTCCTGAAAATGCTTTGGAGGTCTGAGAAAACAGTTTGAGACTAGTTTCCTGCTGGACTATTTAATATGTTCTCTGTAGACAGACTGGGTGTACTTCAGTCACTAAATCAGAAATGTTGCTTTGCATGAAAATGGACAATTTCCTAGTCTACCCTTACAGATTAGGTTTTGTGGCCTTGAATTTTTATCCCTTGCAATTAAAACCTTTGCAAACCAGCACACTTGGGTTATGGTTTGGGTTTTAATGTGGCTTATGTTCAAGGTGACTTGAGAAAAACGAATGCACAGGATTGCAGGTGGTTCCCACGTGGCTTGTGGCTGAAGCAATCATTCCTACAGTGTTTGCTAAGGCAGCAATCAGATCTGATTTAGGATCACTGGTAGACTTCAGGGACTCAGTCATTTCTTTGCCTTCTAAAATGTCTGCCTTCGATTTACACTCCAGTTTAACTCCACCCCAAGCATCTAGGGTCCAATTAAAAGGACTTTTTTAGTAACCAACTCTTGTTTAGCAGGGCATCCGTGTTTAGTAAATGACAGAGCAGGTGATTTACTGGGCTGTAGTCTGTAGCACAGGGCTTGGTACATAGTGATGTGACACCTAATACTACTGCTGTTAATTTCACATTCAGTGCGGTCCCCTCTGCTTTCTGTAACCATAGTAACAAAAGATGTGAAATCACAAAGCAAGAATGAACTAAACGTAAACACAATCGAAATGCAATTATGTTAGGTGCTTTATACTATCACCTTTAGTGCTTGAGACAATCACACAAGATACATACCATTATTCTTATTTATAGATACTGAAACAGCCTAATTTTGCTAGAGGGCACACCCACCATAAAGAGACAGAGAGACAGAGAGTACCCCCCATGGGCAATGGCTACACTATAATCTTTTCTCCTCTATCTCTCCATCCTGTTGGGATTTGGGGCACACATGCACACGTGCCTGGCATGTTTCTCTAGCCTCTGGGACTCCACCTGGAGAGTCAGGCAGGAGGGATCTGGCTCTCTTAACCTATGGACTATGGGTCTGGCCTGGAAATACTTCTAATTCAGGCAAATCTTTTCTTTTTACTTTTAGAACTAGATTTCACTGAATACTGCTCAGGTTGTTCCCAGAAACCTGCTGAAAAGTACAAGGACACTTCAAAAAGTTCATGGAAAATAAAGTACACGTTTATTTTGGAACCAACATTTTAAAAATGTACAGATAATTTTTTTCATAATTTAAATTTTCCAAGAACTTTTTGAGGACCCCCCCCCCTCGTGAGTGGCACAGATATGAATGCTTAAAATTACAAACTAAACCAAACAAAATACTCTGTTGGGTGACACCTTTTTTTTTTTTTTTTTAAATAATGGGTAATGTAATGTCATTCATAGTCTGAAGAGGGGAACTTTGAGAATTTTAGACACCTCAGAATCAGAGTGGCAGTTGTGTGTGAAGTTTGTTTTTTTGATTCCCCCCCCCCCCTTTTTTTTTTTCTTAATAAAGCTGCTTCCTTTCACTGACAGACTATTATATGGGAAGACAAATCACTATGCTTTTGTCTTTTTAATTGGCCAGGCAAAGTCTCCTCAACTCAACTGTACCCCCATCTTTTCTTACAGCCCTAGGCTAGTTACTGTTGCCTTGCCTTTCTCTGTTGCAGTGAAGAGTCCTCCTTAGTTCAAGCCACGAATATTGACTGAACACACTGTGTTAGTTCAGTGTGTCGTGATTGCAAATGACAGACCAGAAATCTAATTCTTTTCAGAGTGAATGCAGGAGGAAGAGGGCTTATTGAGAGGAGGATCAGGTAACCACGAAGAGTGGAATCAGAGCACCCTTCCACATCTTAGTCTGATTGGAGAGACTGTGACTCACGTACCTTCTGGAATGCTTACATTGGGAATGCCCGGCTCTTTCCCAAGCAACTTAAAACAAATCCAATTTGCTCAGTTTGCCCCCTCCAACCCTCTCCTGCCCCCTTTGGTCTGAGTAAATGCTGCTTAGTTTTTGGGACTGACTTTAAATGTCCCCTTTTCCTAGACATCCCCTCTGATGCCCCCAAGCTGGGTAGCATCCCTTGTATAGGTTTTCCTAACATCCTATGCCTAGGACCTATGTACTTATCAAACTTTGTAGTGTGTGGGAGGCTGCGCACCAGCGAGTCTGCCGAGGTTTCTCAGAGAGCAAACAATTACCATGATTGGTTCCCTTCCAAAAACCTGACCTTCGAAACCTTGCTCTGATTGGCCACTAGAATCCCTCAAATTTACATATCCGGCACCTCATGATTGGTCCAAAAGCAACCAATCACGGCCCACCGTTTACAACCCACCAGAGTGTATATAACCACAATGCCTGGCCCACAGTAGCCAGACAACGACGACCAGGAAGACAACAACTGAAGAGCCTGAAGAGCTGAAACACCGCGCGGTCTCCAGACGACCCTGAAGATCCTGAAGAGCTGACACTGCATCGTCTCCAGACAACCTGGGAGACCCTGAAGAGCTGTAACACTACATCATCTCCGGACGACCCTGAAGAGCTGTGACACTGTGTCGTCTCCGTGCTGCTCACAGTAGACGACGCGACCCTTAAGAGCTGTGACACTGCGTCGTCTCTGTGCTGTACCGTGCTGCCCACAATAAACGGACGACACTGTCGTCTCCGTGTTGTAACACTATGCCGCTTGTCCTGGCTCTCACTCCTTCACTCAGGAAACCTGTTCAGCTGTCCCCCCGGGTCAGGACAGTAGTGGTTTCTTATTTATGTGTGTGTTTCCCAACTGCTCTGTGGGTTTCCAGAGGGTGGAAACTGTGATTCATCCTCTCATTCTTTATTCATAATCTCATTCATAAACAGAGAAACCTCTTTGTTGCATGAATGAACATCTCCATTCATTTTGGTGCTATCACTTTGGTTTCTGAGTTGAGCTCAGGACAGATGCCTTTCCCCCCAATGATGTCAACATCCTACTTTTTAAAATTTAATTTAATTTTTTAGTTTTTGCTACGACATGTGCACTCATTGGAGAGAGATGGGGGAGGGCAGTGGGAGTAATGGTCATGCCATAATCCTCTTGGGACTTTTTGACCACGCATACATATGTACCTGGCCTGTTTTTTCAAGGTACTGGGTCCAAGATTTGAACTACTCAGCCAGCCCCAGTTGACCACCCATACCTTTGGCTTGCCAAGCATCCTACTTTCACAGACCTTCCTTCTAAAACCAGACTGATTGTTATTCCCTAAAGAAATGTGGATATCCTCACAAAAAAGTTAATTAAGTTTGTAGTTTTGATAAGAATAAAAAGTTCTGAGCAGTATCTAGATATAAATGATGACTTTAAAATATATTTATGAAATATATAAGCAAACCTTAATGAGCAAGCAGACTAACTATATCGTTGATATGAATAGACTGGTGGGGGTTGGTCAGTAAGGTGCCTGACAGTGAACATTCATTTTTAGTGTCCCCCCCCCACCCATTGAATCCAGTTATTTTATTTAATTTTAATTTTTTTTTTTTATTGAGAGGTTTTTGCTATAGGGCACGTGCACTTGCCTGAAAGAGAGAGACAGAGAGGCAGAAGCAAGAAATCATCCCCCGGGAGGATGGCCAGCCGCAATCCCTTCTCCTCCATTCTCCTCTTGGGATCTTGGGCACACACACACACACACACACACACACACACATACACCCTGAGTTTAAGCCACCAGGTCTGGGACTTGAACCGTGGTCAACTACATGGGAGTCCAGTGACATAGCCATTAAGCTATATGCTGGTCCCGAATCCAGTTATTTTAAACATCAGTCTAACTACCTTCTAAGTAAGTTGGAAAAAAATTTACTGTTATATGCTAAGTTTTTCAATTAGTCCTTCTGAGGACATATTAATGCTAATACCATTAGTATTATGATTTCCAATAACCACTTAATATATTTACTATAATGACCATCTTTATAATTATATACTATCGTACTGCTTGTTGGGTTATCAAGGTCACTGTTGTACAGGTCCCACAAAATATATGGAAAGAACCCCTTCTCCTTTTGACAGTTTTATAACCAGCTTTGATTGAACGCTTCAGTGGTTATGAATCCAAGAAGCTCATTCACAGCAACAGTTCTGAGTAGTATAAACTAAAAAGTTGCTCTTTTAAATTGTACATAGCCTTTTTCTTTCAGGATGAATAATTTGACACCTAGTATCTGAGCATATGTAATGACCAACCATTTAAAAAAGATTTTGCTCTAGTCATCAGAAGCCAATGGTCTCACGAGGAGGAAAGACGAAAGAGTCGGATTTACTGGCTTACTCATGCATTCCTTCCTCTTCTCCTTGTCTCTTTTTTCTTCCAGTGAGCATGTTTTTGAACACGTTAACCCCGAAGTTCTACGTGGCCCTGACAGGCACCTCCTCACTAATATCAGGGCTTATTTTGGTAAGTGGTGTAATCCTCATTTGAAAACCTATGATTCTATGCATGTTGGTGTCTGCATTCCGTGTGCAGTGCTTCTATTGCCTAGATATAGATGTCCAGTGGGGACATTTATAGATGCTTTTCACTGTTCCTATTAAATGTTTCTAAAATGTTCGAAAAAAATACTGAGGGTCGTAGATTACTTTTAGTGAAGAGAAAAGTGGATATAAATACGATGGAAAATAGGGAAGATACAATTCTGCATTAAATGCTAGTATCTTAAATACTATAAAGTGAAATGTAGCTCAGTTCAACTGTCAAAATGGATTATTTGATATAATCAAGGTCGGTAGGAATATAGCTCAGTTTCTTTCAATGTTGTGACATAAATTGTGACAGTTCTAAGCTTTTCCCTCCTTCATCTTCTTTTCTCTCCGAGTTACATTTATTCCTTTATTCCTTCCTTTGGAAACAATCCCAAACAGGCAAAAGACAGGGTGATCGTGACCTGATGGCCCCATAACTTTGTGTTCTGTCATAGCTGTCCATGTGCTGCACTGTGACACCTCCAGTATCAATAGCTCATGTTAATGACCTCATGCAGAGACCACCTAAACTCGGGGACTTCTCAGTGCAATTAAATAACCTTTAAGAAGAGAAAGATTTTAGAAAGCTATTTTCCCCTGGACACATAATCCTGTGATTACTAATTATGATAGAAACAGGCACAACGAAAATATTAATTATTTTTTTAAAGAGGTTTTTGCTATAGGGCACATGCACTCGCCAGAGAGACAGAGAGACAGAGAGATAGAAAGCAAACCCCCCTCTCCACCCCCAGGGGATGGCCACATCTCAATCCCTTCTCCTCTAGTCACCTCTCAGGATTTGGAGCATGCACACACACATGTCCAGCCTGAGTTTTAAGCCACCAGGTCAGGGACTTACTTGAACCACAGTCAACAATGTGATAGTCCAGTGATGTAACTTTATGCCACCTGCTGGTTTCTATTAGAGTTAGTATAAAGTAAAATAGAATGTAAATAGAAAAACAGACAAGTTTGGGGGGATAAAGGCACAAATTTGTGAAGTGAAGAGCATAGATAGACCTAGAATGATGGAGAATTTCAGAAGCTTGAGCTTGTAAAGAGAGTAAAAAGGTGGAGAAATGTAAGCAAGACAGAAACTTGCAGACAGATAAAAGATGGTGGTTCTGTGGGGAACATCTTTTTGTGATCAGAATGCATCCAGGTTCATTTTGCCCTCTTGTAGCACATGGGCTGCTGAACTCAAGGGATGAGATGTTGGAAACTGATGTCAAGCTAGAATGTGAAGAATACTAGGAGGAGCCATTCTGAGGTGGTTACCTAAGTGAAAACTCAAAAGCCCAGGGCTGACTGGGGGCCTTGTAGCATGGTGTTTAAGCCCTTTACATTGGAAGCTGAATTCTACATGGCTGACATGGTTTGAATGCTTATCCTGATGGCTTGAAAAACATGCCAGGCATGTTTGTACGCATGACCCAAATCCCGACAGGATGGAGAAATGGAAGGAAAAAAGACTGTAGAATAATTATGCCCTGTTGTACATATGTGCTTGCACTTTCCCTCTCTCTCTCTGTCATTGGATGGAGAGTGCATGTACACTCTGTCAATTAAAGAAAAGAAGAGAAGGGGAGAGGGATATAGAGAGGGCAGAAGAGAAGAAAAGGAGAGAGGAGGGGACGGGAGGTGAGGGGAAGGGAGGGAAGGAGAGGAGAAGAGAGAGAGAAGAGAAGAGAAGAGAAGAGAAGAGAAGAGAAGAGAAGAGAAGAGAAGGAAGAGAAAGGGGAGAAGAGAAGAGAAAGGAGAAGAGAAAGAAGAAAAGAGAGAAAGGAGAAGAGAAGAGAAGAGAAGAGAGAAGGGAAGGGAAGGAAGGGAAGGGAAGGAAGGGAAGGGAAGAGAAGGGAAGGGAAGGGAAAGGAGGAGAGGAGAGGAAGAGAAGAGAAGAGAAGAGAAGAGAAGAGAAGAGAAGAGAAGAGAAGAGAAGAGGGAGAAAGGAGAAGAAAAGAGAAGAGAGAAGGGAAGGGAAGGGAGGGAAGGGAAGGGAGGAGAGGAGAGGAGAAGAGAAGAGAAGGGAAGAGAAAAGAAGAGGGAGAAAGGAGAAGAGGGAGAAAGGAGAAGAGAAGAGGAGAGAAGGGAAGGGAAGGGAAGGAAGGGAAGGAAGGGAAGGGAGGAGAGGAGAGGAGAAGAGAAGAGAAGAGAAGAGAAGAGAAGAGAAGAGAAGAGAAGAGAAGAGAAGAGAAGAGAAGAGAAGAGAAGAGAAGAGAAGAGAAGAGAAGAGAAGAGAAGAGAAGAGAAGAGAAGAGAAGAGAAGAGAAGAGAAGAGAAGAGAAGAGGAGAGGGAGAAAGGAGAAGAGAAGAGGGAGAAAGGAGAAGAGAAGAGAAGAGAAGAGAAGAGAAGAGAAGAGAAGAGAAGAGAAGAGAAGAGAAGAGAAGAGAAGACAAGCCTAGTGTTGGCTTCAAAGACCAACCCAGATTGAGGGAGAACATGTTAAAACTCCTCCTTAAAAGGGATGAAATAAAGTATGTGCAATAATTTGTACCATGTTGCCTCTTAAATACTGATCTGCATGCTCTTGTGTGTGTCTGAAATGTTCCCTGTTCTGCAGAGACATGAGAAATAAGGACACTATAGGGAGTTGTTTATAAAACCATAAAGTTTGTCATTAATTTATTTCATACAAGGACCATTTTATTCTGAGGATGTGTCCCTTGTACTTTATAATGTTAACATTTATTTCTGAACTGATGGTGATAGTGGTTAGTGGGTGCTATTTTATTGCTACTTTAGCAAACCCAAAGTGATCTTCGAATGCAGTGGAGGGTAGGAGAGATTCTAATAGAATGTAAAATCTGGAAGTCTGGGAACCACTGGCCCGAGAGACCAGCAACCTCAGTAACTGTCTTCTGCCAGATCTGTAGGGGAGCAACAGAAATTGTCAGACAGAGAAAAAGGAAACACAGATATCTGAGTCTGACCTAGAGCAGTGAATGGAGAATGAAAACATTTTAGATGATCCTTGAAAAACTCTCCAACCTAAGGGATCCAGGGCAGAGGAAAGCAGTCCAAGGGAGGGTTTGGTGGGAAAAGCTGGCCGAAACTGTGTTGCTGGAAAACCACAGAACAGGGGGATGAATGTTGAGGGTGTGCGAAGGACTCGCTCACTCCTTTCTCACTTTCTTGGTTAAACAGAAAATGTTCATTAGGGGCAATATGCTTCCTATTTGGAGTTAGATAAGAAACTATTAATATATCGAGAGTGACAGGATATCCAGAATATGACAAGGCGTAGATAGGAGATGAAGGGAGAAAAGAATGGAAAAGGAGAAAGGGAGATCATTTCAGTGAGACTGGTGATGCAAGAGAAAACAGTGGGAAGAGTCAGGGATTTTTATGACATTCTAGGACATTAGGGCCATTCAACCTAAGCTCTTTAGTTTTTAGGAAAAAAAAGAGAGAGAGAGAGAGAGAGAGAGAGAGAGAGGTTAACTGAGACTTCCAATGGGAAAAAAAGGAGGTGTTTTGTTTAAGCTCATGTGGTTTGTTTGTGGCAAAGCTGAGAACCTGTGTCTTCAGGTTCCTACGTTAATGTTCTTAGGTGGACTAAAGAAAATTCAGATTTAGAAAACGCTTGCACATACTTGATAAATTTGTAGTTAGTATGTGTTGAAATGTGGCATAGATGAAGGGACTTCAAAAAGTTGATGAGAGAACCAGCAGTTAGTGTAATGGCTATGTCGCTGGACTCCCACATAGTTGACCGCGGTTCGCGTCCTGGACCTGGTGGCTTAAAACTCACGCCGGACACGTGTGCGTGCGTGCCCAAGATCCTGAGAGGAGAATGGAGGAGAAGGGATTGCGGCGTGACCATCCCCGCTGGGGGGTGATGTCTCTTTTTCTCTCTATGTCTCTCTCTGTTTGGCGAGCACACACACCCTCTAGCGCAAACCTCTCCAAAAAAAAAAAAGTTGATGAGAAAAATGGAATTAAAATACAACTTTATTTTGGTGCAAAGATAAATGACATGTGTAGTTTTTTTTCATAATACACATTTTTCATGAAATTATGAATGATATATCATGTATTATGTCTTTTTTTTTTTTTGAGAGGTTTTTGTTATAAGACGTGTGGCCTCGCAGAGAGACAGAAAGCGAGAAATCACCCCCTGGAAGGATGGCCACGCTGCAGTCCCTTCTCCTCCATTCTCCTCTCAGAATCTTGGGGACACATGCACATGTGCCCTGTGTGAGTTTAAGCCACCAGGTCTGGGACTCAAACTACCGTCGACTATGTGGGAGTCCAGTGACATAACCATTACACCAACTGCTGGTCCTGAATTATGTCTTTTTTATTTTGAGAGGTTTTTGCTATAGGGTGCGTGCGCTCACCAGACAGGCAGAGAGACAGAAAGACAAAAAGCGAGAAATCGCCCCCCAGGGGGCATGACCACGCCGCAGTCCCTTCTCCTCCATTCTCCTCTCGGGGACTTGGGCACGCACGTACACAAGCCTGGCGTGAGTTTAAGCCACTGGGTCCGGGACACAAACCGCGGTCGACTACATGGGGGTCCAGCGACATAGCCATTATGCTAACTGCTAGTCCCACTGAATTTTATGGCTTTTTAAAGACATTCCCCCCTTTGTATTTTGGAGAAGAGATAAAAGATATTACAAGTCTCCACCAATTATGATTTAAATTTTAAATAATATTTTTATATTTTATTTCAAAAACATCTTTGAAAATTTTTTTTATTAAAATTTATTTTTAGGAAGTGAACTTTTAGAAATAATTTCATACTGATACTAGTAGTTCACTCTGATGCCTAAAGGCAGGTTTTTGCTTGTACACTCCTCTTTCCTCCTTCCAGGGATGTTCACTTTAAGAATGTTACATACTGGGGCCAGCAGATGGCAATGTGATACAGTGCTGGACTCCCATATGGCTAACTACGGTTCCAGTCCCAGACCCAGTGGTTTGAA